CAACTTGGCTGCTAAGTGCAGTTTCAAAATAAGTGGTGTCTGAAGTCCAATTTTGAGCTTCTTTAGCGATGAATTTCTTCAGAATAGCTGGCACTTTAGAGGCTCATACTTGAATGTGTGGGAAAAGCCAAATGAATGTTTACTTGTCACAAGTGGCGGCAAAAAAGTACAGTAAGCTTTTTTGGAGTGACCTTCCCGTCATAACAACAATACTGAACTTCTGTTTACAGAATGTCGACAGAAATACAAATGCAGACCGGAAAGCACATCATCCACTAGAACATCCCATCTAGGTAAATACAGTATTAATAATGCAATTTTAATGTCCCTTGATTCAAAGATGTTTGTTAAACATAAAATAAACCTGAAAGTATTCACATTAATGTTTTACTATAATCCCCATGGCCTAGCTGTTCAAAGACTAGATAATACTTATCTACCAGATAAATCACTATTCAGTAGATAAGTGTTGGCAAAACAAACCACACCATATGCTAGATAGTGATTCATCTAGAGGATACTTTATCCACTTTTCAAACCTACCTGGGTCAGATATTTCATCTTGTAACTTTCAAATAACAGTTAATATAACTATAGTCTTCAGATGATGGCCGGTCTATGAAAATTTGTTGTCTTGTTGTTTTTGTCATGTTAGTACAGTATTGTGTATATCAACCTTAAACATTATATCTAAACAGCTTATAGTTTAATGTTGTAACAGATGTATAAAAATGTTCTACAACTTGTTATATATATATATATTTACAACTTATATCTAACAGGGCATCAAACTTCTACAAGACCATCGTGTACAACAATTGATATGCAAGGTAAAAGAGACAGTAAATATCACAATTTAATGAAAATACCACAACAGTTCTCACTATTTTCACTCCTTGCACATGAAAATCTCATGTAAGTTAAGTTACCTATCGAAATTCCATCCTCTAAAGAATACCCAAGTGATTTTCCCCAATTTTCAAAATTGCACATGTTACAAAAAATATAATTACATAATAGATAATCATATAGTTTTGAGTTTAATTTAGAATTAATTTGCACGAATGAGTTTTTCAAAAAGCTGAAATTGTGTGTTGACTTCGTTCCCACAACAAACTCAGAGTCCGTACATGTACATTAGGTAACTTGCTCTAAGGCTGAATTCAAGTTGACAAAATTAGTGAACTTAAGATACACAAGACAAAAGAAACTTTGTGTCAGTAGTGTGTTATAATTCCCTCCTAATCAATTACATGTATCAGTAAGTAACTACAGCAAACTTTTCACAACAATTATCAAAATATATTTCATGTATACTAAATTACATGAACAATCAATTGAATCAATTAAGTGATTAACTTTCCTTGATACACTGTCAAACTTCTGCTCTATACATAGCAAAATTTTGCATACTTACTGGCAAAAGAACGTTATTCATCACAAATTTTCGTTGAGGCGTTGAAAATCCCACAAAATTTCCCCTATTGTTCAACCGAAATATCACTCGAGCCGCATTGAATTTTCTCTCAAATTTTTCCACAACTTTTCGATGAAAATTGACAAAGAGAAAAAAACAAATTTCTGCATTTCAATTGCATTACTTTTGCACTGTACCATATACTTGAATACTTGCCCTTGGACATTATCTGTGCCTCAAGGCTCATGTTTTTCCTTGAGCCATGCTTGGTCCGTTGGACGAAAACCACCAAAATACACTTGACTCTGATTACCCGTAAATCGTATAAATAAAATTTTTATTCGATCTGGAATAAACACAACAAATGATACACTTAAACACTAGCAACTAACTGAAAATAAAGGGCCTTAAGACATCGTATGAACCAAGAAACCTGAACAGATTTTACTGAGTAAACCATGCGGTATTACACAATTGTTAATCACATGCACGCGATTACCGAAATTACACTACCAGAAGTCAAAGGAAACAACTTAAAGAAACAAAGCCTTAGAAAACGGAAAAAACCAACTTAAACTGACTCACTTGGTGACGGGATTCTAGAGTCTAATTAAACTGTAAACAACCTTTAAGACGGGAAGCTATCCATTCCGACACATGTAAAACTAACTTAAAACAATTCCTACATCAAGCTGCTCAAATTGCAATGTCAATCAATGTAATCATGTTTGATAAAAAGTGTAATATTGAACTATTAAAATCAATAACAAAATGTCACACGAAATGTCACGCAAAACACTGTTCTTCAATGAAACAATGCTTTTGAAAAACTGTTTGGTTCTCAGAACAGATCTATACAACATCTGTACACAAAGATCTCAACATATTTTCAGACCAAATGAAGGTTATTACTTATTTGACTTATCTTTCAGGAAAATGGGTGGAAAATTTATATACTGATACTTTGAAGAATTTAATCCTCATGGATACAGCTGTCAAACTACTGAAAGACGCTACAGCTGCAACATGCACTATGGTAAAAAGAGAACTTAATTTCTTGTAATCATGAAATGTAACATTAATCATACCTCTATTATGAAAAAAATTCTAAAACAAACTAAAATGTCGTCTTCTTTCAGACTTCTGCAGAAGTTAAATCCCTTGCGTGTAGTATGACCACAACCCTAGACTTGTGCCAGAATGTAAGTTACTCATTACTTCTAATCTATGACTCTAACAGTACTTTATCAAAGCATTTACTCCCATCAGATAATGAACAACCAAACAATTCAGGCAATATTAGTAGAATTACAGGATATAGGATAGGCAAATACACAAAATACTATTCAATACTCATTATCATCCCAAGAAAGAGAGGAGATTCCATCCCAAGAAACAGGGGAGATTCACAGCTCAATATTTCTTGTACAGAAATGTCAACCTACTAACCAACCAAACTAAATTTTTGAAGCAATTGAGTGGTTAGTACAGAACGGCTTTCATACAAGGCATTAAATTAATTCTCAAATCACCATTAAGAAAAATAATGCTAAAATATCACAGTAATTCTATTCAACATTGCTACACAACTGTAATTCTTGGATGTAATTTGAAGACTTAACTTCCTTTTAGTTAATTCCTTGTAGCTCTGTCTAATAGATAAAACTAGCCATTCTAAACCATCCAAAAAATAGCCTAATTTAACTGTGAAAATGATGTGATTACATGTAATCAAAAATTCTTACAGGTATCTCTCAATTATACATCTAGGTTACCACAAATATCAGTTCTTCCTTGAGAGAACACAAGCTGTTGTGGGAACAGGTAAACATACTTCACTTTGTCTCCTTATAAATTATCCAAGTTCCACTTATTAACTTGTGAACTACAATAATACTATTTAATAAATAGTTAAAAGATAAAGTCTGAAACTGTTCTCTTATTGCATCAGTTATAGTAAATGAAAACATTTTCAACCAAAATGATAATAGAGCTTGGTTAAAATCTTTTACATTGTAGATTGCTGTCCCAAGAAGAAATCCAGATACAATTCAGGTACTATAAAATTATGTTGTATCCAGAGTCTTATTAATACCTGAATTCATAAGCTTCAGCCACTAGCACACACTTAGTGAGAACAAACAACATAACCTGAAAGACAAATCAATACTGTGTTATCTGACTTGATTTAAAATTTGTAGTTTTTTTAAGTTCTACATCTAAATAAAAATGTAAGTTACTAAGAACACCTACACAACTTTGAAACAATGCAATACAAACAAAAGAAAAACTCTCCACAAGTACATTAAGAAAATCTTGAGCGAATTGAAATTACATAAGAGCTACATGTACCATACTTCAGACACAAAAAAGCTTTATAACAAAATACATGTGTCAACATTTGATCACTTTACAATGCCATTACAATTTAAATTGACTCTAGAACCCTCTCCAGGGAATAATAAATAATTCATTTAATAACATACATGAAAAAATTTCTCAATTCTGATTGGATAAGAAAAATGCAGTTTTCATTCAACAAAATGCAGAAGAGAAGTAATTCAATGCAAAAAGTAACGACAAAGCAATCAGTATCATTCGCTCAATGAATAAACAAAATCGCAGATAGCTACATGTACTGATTCTCAGTGTGAAGTAGATTAAACTGACTGGAATTTCCGTCAAAATCCTTTCAATCACCATGAACATGGAGTCAAAGAAAAATAATCTCACTCTGAGATAAATCATATCATGAAAGAAAAATATTGAACGTGAAGCAAAATCATCGTCAAATAAATCCATGGCAAAAGGAAATTCCCACCAAGTGAAAAGTCATACTCTGAAATTTCATACTGCAAAAAATAAATGTAACCTTAGAAAAAAGATGCTGTTTCAAAACAAGCTGAAACAATGCAAGCCAACATTTACAAATGTTACACAATTCATGTTTCACTCTTGGTAAACAAATCAGCAATATAATATATTAAGTTCATAATTTGTATGAAACTTTTTGCAACTAAACCTTCTGTTATTGAATTCATGATGTAAAAAACTGCTTGTCATATGACTATTTGCATGTCTTACTGCCAGTACTGTGTCTACTGTGAAAATTCAGGACCTTGAAATTTGCATACTAATATTTCACATGTACAGCTTTTTTTAGTGTTACTCTTTGGATTGGAGAAACGGGTACAGAAAAATGTCTGCTGTAACAATTATTGAGACAATTATTTCTTTTTCATCATATACACAGCAAAACTCATTGCGTTGAATACGAGCACAAAAAATTCTCTTCATTACTTTCAACAATTTTTACGCAACATATGGATTCCAAATAACATTTTGCGTGACCATGAAATAAATTTCACATTTCACACTCAAACTCTTAAGCCCCTTTTTCGTGTGAATGGTCACATCTGAAAAAAATAAAACAAGATTGTTCAACTAACATCCTTTGTTTTATGTCTTTTTACCAGCTGGAAACATGAAATTTCTATGAGGGACCACAATATTGAACAGCAAATGACCAAAGCCTAGCAGTAAACTTTTGTTGTGTAAACACAGGTAGCCCAAGCTCACTATGTGAGCATCACAACATCAACATATAGTGTAAGAGTTCAACCCTAATTAAATATTTGTAGTGTACTTAATAATTAAACATGACCTTCATTGTAAGAAACTGTATGAAAACTACTTCTGTCGTTTAAAATTGCTCAAAATTGGCAATGAATTTTGTCATTGAAGTTCTCTTCTTGTCATTTCTTATGATTTTACAGCATTAAAAACTTCTCAGCGGCAGGTTAAAACCTTTTCTGAACACGTCAATTTTGCTCACTAAAAACCTTAATTCAACATTAAGACGTCTTCAATGCTGTAGAATCGAAAGAAACTACAATAAAACAACTTAAGTGAGTTTAAAGCAAAATTTTATTGCCCATTCCCTACACTTCACACTGACAGAAAACTAAAATTAAATGGGGTCTTTAGGCTGATTTTCACCAGCGACAGAGTCAGAGTCAGAGTTGTACTCAGAGCCGTAAGAGTGCTTACAACCTAGTGCACATGTATGATATCATCTTGTGTTAGAAACAGTTTACATTTAGTCTACATATAAACAATCATACTTACTAAAATTAAATGGCGTCTTAAGGCTGGTTTTCACTAGCAACAGAGTCAGAGTCAGTCGTGGTCAGAGGCATAAGAGTGCTTACAACCTAGTGAAAATCGAAAATCAGAGTTGTAAGCAGAGTCATAAGCTCGACAGAATTGGAGTGACCTTCATTGTAAGAAACTGTATGAAAACTACTTCTGTCACTTAAAATTGCTCAAAATTGGCAATGAATTTTGTCATTGAAGTTCTCTTCTTGTCATTTCTTATGATTTTACAGCATTAAAAACTTCTCAACAGCAGGTTAAAACCTTTTCTGAGCACGTCAATTTTGCTCACTAAAAGCCTTAATTCAACATTAAGATGTCTTCAACGCTGTAAAATCGAAAGAAGCTACAATAAAACAATTAACTTAAGTGAGCTTAAAGCATAATTTTATTGCCCGTTTCCTACACTTCACACTGACAGAAAACTAAAATTAAATAGGGTCTTAAGGCTGGTTTTCACTAGCAACAGAGTCGGAGTCAGAGTTGTAGTCAGAGGGGTAAAAGTACTTACAACCTCATGCACATGTATGATATCATCTTGTGTTAGAAACAGTTTACATTTAGTCTACATATAAACAATCATACTAAAATTAAATGGGGTCTTATGGTTGGTTTTCACTAGCGACAGAGTCAGAGTCAGAGTTGTACTAAGAGGCGTAAGTGTGCCTCAACTTAGTGCACACGTATGATATCATCTTGTGTTAGAAACAGTTTACATTTAGTCTACATATAAACAATCATACTTACTAAAATTAAATGGCGTCTTAAGGCTGGTTTTCACTAGCAACAGAGTCGGAGTCAGTCGTAGTCAGAGATGTAAGAGTGCTTACAACCTAGTGAAAATCGAAAATCAGAGTCATAAGCAGAGTCATAAACTCGCTGGAATCAGAGTTGGAAGAATCAGAACATTTCCATTTCTTCCGATTCCATTTATGACTCCATCACTTTATGCTTTAGTCATTGTTGTTGTTGTTTCAAGGAAAGAAATCTAATCATACACTGTTACTATCTTTAAGTGTCTATGAAAGAAATCTTCTTTATTTGCTCAATGGAATTTATATGAGATTATCATATAGAAATCAAAAAATAAAATTGGATATTGCTGTTTCTTCAACACATTTTAGCCAACTGAACACAAGAAATTCCACTTCCAGCATGTCACAATGTATACCAAATGGAGACATGAAATTCAAGTCATGCTGCACATGATGTCAAAAAAATTACATAAGTCAATATATTTTTTTGAACTAAACAAATAGAAATAAAAAAACTAAGAGAATTGAATACTAGCAATCAGACAATCAAAGTAATAATTCCAATTTTGATTCAAAATTGTAAACATTTACAAAAGACCTATAAACCTATATTCTTACTTTCAGGTTACATTTTTAATCTAACCAGAAGTGAAATTTCACATTTTCAGATGACTAAAATGCAATGAAAAAAAAACAACAAAATTACAACAATGTAACCAATTTTTTTCCATATCATGATCCCACGTAGATTCCATCAAGCAAATAAAAAAAATATCTGTCACACCCATTTTAAAATTTGCGTTGTTTGATTGCATAATTTCAATATCCTCAAATGGTATCTATATGCATACTGGGGTCAATGTAATTATTATGTTATTAACTCAGGCAAAAATTTTAATCTAAGTAAATTTATATACTGCTATTTGTTGACCCACACAGACTATTACACACAAAAATTAAGAGGCGGGCAGATTGGTATAACTAATCCATCAAGAGGTCCAAGTGATTAATTGCCATCCATTTTGTTTTTCAAAATATTTCATACCTTATTTGACCACATAAAATACATCTTACGTGTAGTGCTCATACTATAATATTATGATATATTTTGACACACATCCTGATTCACCATAACTGATTTGAAATTAAGGCCAACAAATTGCAGTATGTAAATGATCTGATATGTAAATATCTTTTCTTACAATTTCTTCCAGACCCCAATTTTGGGTTAGAAATTCATTGAAGAGTAATACAAAATTTATCTTTACAACACTAAAACAATAAATAAATAAACTGCTTGTACCTTATTTGAGTCACTGACGATAGTTTTATTAATTCTAATAAACTAAGAAAAAGCTCACATCATCTGATCACACAGTAAGTTATAAATAAAATCTCATCACCAGTAGTCGGTCAAAAATAAATGATATTACTAGAAAGTACTCTCCACGTATGTATGCTCTCCACAAACCTCTTAACTGCTCAACCGTAAACTAAAAATTATTTACAACACGAAAACACGTAAAAAAAAAATTGAATTCCAACTTGCCCTTCACACAGTCAATTCCAAAAAGCGGCTTGACTTGAGCAAATTCTAGTTTTCTTTAACTACGATTTAAGTCGCACCTAACTTGCCTGGACTTGAATTGTCCAATCCGGGCAAGTAAGAATGAGAAACTTAACACGTGTTCCTTGGGATAATCTGGAACCGATGAATCCGTGATCAGAGTGGATTCATCGATTCCTTTGATACGCTATGATCCGAGTGATCTTGGACAACCGATCTTGATCCAAATCACGTACCCCAAAGGAACGCAACCTTGATAAGCTTGAGCTTAATTTTCTACTTCTCCCGGAAGACTTAACAACCCTTTTTTCGAGCGTTGAAAAGATACAAACTATTTCCTAAACTCACATTGAATATATAAACTTTATGTTCAAAAGCGTTCAAGGTGTTTGTACAATTCGATTGAAAATGTGCTACGTTCGTCGAAGTTCACCACCCACAACTAGCAACTTCCAGTTAAACACTACCTATTTAATTCAAGTTCGCTACAAACAAGAAACTAAAACTTAAAAATTAATCCAACATTTCAACTTACCAAATAAGCACGTACTTTGAAACCTGTCATATGCTGAAGTTAAGTCACCAAACTAAGAATACATCGTTTTAGATAGTCATCAATCACTTGTATGCTTTAGCGCGCGACTAGCCTACGTGTAACCGTACCCACCCCCCGAGGGAAAACGGGAGGGAGGGAACGTCTACGAAGAGCTGACACGAATCGTGTTATGTGACGTCACACTTTTGCATGGAAATATATAATGGTTCCTTATTGAATAAAGACCGCGAGCAATACTTTCGAGAATACTGATTGGCTAAAATAGATTTGTGCCAAGCCGCGAAATGTCTCACATTCTCACATCTGTACGAGTTTAGAGTTGCGCTAGTAAGTGGCTACTACAGACGTTCTGAGCACTTTAGAAATACCGGCAACTGATGAGATCCGCATGGAGGATCGAAACCATGGTCTTGCCTGAACCAAGCCGAACAATGGCATATACAACAC